TTTAGGGTTTATTTACCCCATCATGCAGACAAGATTGGGTCCTTCTACGGGTTTATTCCCTTTCATATATTTTTCATTTAATACAAAAGTTAAACCCATTAATATAGAAGCAAATAAAATAAAACAAACACCAACAAACTCGTCGTCGTTGAGGGTTATATTTAGCTGACATGCTTTCAGAGAAACCCCACAAAATATCACCAGAATCTGAAACACAAATAAAACACACTAAACCCTCATAAACCCTCATAAACCCTAAACCCTCATAAACCCTAATAAACCCTAAATACTGGATAGTGGATAATTGAGGATAAATATATTCTCCTTTCTTTTATAAGAAAGGATAATATATTTATGTTGGCACACTGAAAATATATAATACAACCGAAACCCTAAACCCTAAACCCTACACTCTTACAAACCCTAAACCCTAAACCCTAAACCCTAAACCCTGACCGCGAGCCACTGGGAGAGAGTGAGTTTTCTTTTGAGTATAACCGTAGACCAGACAATCAAAACCCCAAACCCTAAACCCTAAACCCCAAACCCTAAACCCTAAACCCTAACCCCTAAAACCTCGACTCTACCAACCCCTAAAACCTAAACCCTAAACCCTAAACCCTAAACCCTGACCGCTAGCCACTGGGAGAGAGTGAGTTTTCTTTTGAGTATAACCGTCGACCAAACCGCCGTCCATACAAGAGAAGAACTATCCACAACAATATACACTGCAGCACCCGCGTATATTAAACCAGCTGCAGCAGCAGAAACAAAAACTAATAAAAGGAGACAGATAGAGATAGATAGAGATAGAGAGAGAAAGGAGACAGAGAGAGAGAAGGGAGAGAGAGAGAAAAAGAAAGAAAGAAAGGAGAGAGACAGAGAAAGGAGACAGAGAAAAAGGAGACAAACAAAGAGAAAAGGAGACAGAGAGAGATACTACATCTGCTGCCGTTGCTGCTGCTGCTGCTGCTGCTGCTCCTGCTGCTGCTGCTGCTGCTGCTGCTGCTGCTGCTGCTGCTGCTGCTGCTGCTGCTGCTGCTGCTTCACCTTTTTTGAGGAGCTGATTGACGATGTCTAGCAGAGAGACAACCAGCCCCTTTCGCCAGTCGCACTCGCTGCACACAAAACCCTAAACCCTAAACCCTAAACCCTAAACCCTAAACCCTAAACCCTAAACCCTAAACCCTAAATATTTATTTAAAACCCTTTCTCTACTCAGCCTGCGTTCCCAGGCTATACAAGAAGGTCTCAGGTGTATAGGCAGCTTTATATTGGGGTGTATACTGAGGTGTATACTGAGGTGTACACTGAGGTGTATGCTGAGGTGTATGCTGAGGTGTATGCTGAGGTGTATACTGAGGTGTATACTGAGGTGTATACTGAGGTGTATACTGAGGTGTGGGGTGTATACTGAGGTGTATACTGAGGTGTATATTGAGGTGTATGCTGAGGTGTATGCTGAGGTGTATACTGAGGTGTGGGGTGTATACTGAGGTGTGGGGTGTATGCTGAGGTGTATGCTGAGGTGTATATACACCTGAGGGGTTGTTTGGTGGGTAGGAGGCCAACCATCATCATGGAGTAGTAGTGGGGGATTAGTATAGATAAAGCGCTAGCCTGTATACACAAAAAAAAGAAAAAAGAAAAAGGAGACAGAAAGGAGACAGAAAGGAGACAGATATATTATAAAGGAGACATATGATAGAGAGAAAGGAAACAGATGAAAAGAGAAATATATAAAAAGGAGACAGAAAGGAGACATAAAGGAGACATATATATATATATATATATATATATATATATAT